CAGCCGCTATATGAGCGCTTTTAATTTAAATTTAATTTAAAACATCATTTTAAATATTCATACGTATAAACATGTCTTTATCTTTAATAAATCATTGCCAAAAACAGTTTGCTAAGCATGCATTTTACCCTGTGAATTGTTTGTATTCTAGCATGAAATATTTCTTAGCACACCTAATTTTTTGTAATTAAGAGCCGCACTTAGAGACATTCATTAAATTACCTCTAAAGGGTTTTTTACATAGTTAAATTATGAGGGCTCATTAATTGCTGAAAATTTTAAATATGGTCAAAGTTCAATTTCTATTTCAGTTCGAAATCAAATATAAAATTAAGTATTTATTTCATTTTGCGCGCTGCCTCCACAATGAAAGTAGAGGCCGAGTGAGCGGAGCATTGGCGCGCCATTCGAGAGATCCAAGGTCAAATCCTCCATCATAATAATTTTGTTTTCCCTTTTTTTAATATTTTGCTTTTTTCTATTTTATACTTAATTATTATATGTATTGTTTTAAAAAGAAAAATATATTTGGGACATCCTTTGCCAAGCGGGCCAATCCTTCTCTCCATTTTTGGTTTGGTTTAAGCAATTCAAAACCTTTTGTAAAATTTAGCTTTTTAAATGTCGTTCGGCGTTTTTAAAAATTCAAAATGAAGGATCCATATTGGATCTATGTAGTCTTTTTAACGGAAAGATTATAAAAGAACGTACGCACATGGCGTATGAGTAACATTCTCATCTCATGTCTGGGTAACTCATACGTGTGTCTCGTGTGTCACAAATGTGTATCTCGGTAAGCGATTCACTTTATAACTACAAAGGTCTCTCTCGGTAACCGCTTTATCGAAAATGTTTGAAGTAGGGAAAACAGGTGTGCAAAGGCAGTTGAGAGAAAGTTGAAACGACGATATTTGAATACTTGATACCTGCGCCGGGTATGTGAAATTCGGTTTCTCTCGAACTTATACTTCTTTACTTGGTTAAAAACAGCTTCTCATGAAAATACAATCGCCGTTCGGAGTCGGCGTAGAATTGTAGGTCCCTCCCCTTTGCGTGACAGCATCAAGGCGCACGCCACAATTCGGAGGAGAAGATCGGCCAAACGCTAACATAGGTGTAAGCGCCAATCTAGTATTATTATTATATTTTAAATTGTTTCTAATTTATTTTTTTTATTTTAAGATTTCAGGGTTTTAAAATAAAAATATATTTTCAATCTATATACTTGTTTCTAAATGTTTTTTTCGGTTACCAAACGTTATTTTCTTTAATATTTGATGAAATTTAATGAATGATATCTCATTTTGAAGGGGAGAAGCTCACGTACATGCGAAAAATAGTCACTTTGTTCAAATTTAGTTATTTATTTAACACAAAAAAATGGTATTTTAAAAGCTGGAAGCACTGCATCCGGTCAATAAAGCGCCTTATTTTCCATAAAACTTAATCAAATTGAATGATTGAAACACCATTTTGAAAAAAAGCAACACTTCATGAGGTAAAAATAAAAACTTTGATTTTCAGTTAGAGAGCGCTGGAAGCGCGAATTATCTATACTAATATATATTTGACAGCCGTTTTTTTCTAATACCAAAGCTCCATAGTGGCTGTACCGATTTTTTTGAAATTTCGCGTACCTACTGCAGAATTTCCAAGAATGGTTATAGACTAAAAAAGCTCGTACATGGTTTGGAGATATGTGAAAGCAGTGGCATACTCATGGACAGAAGTGGGAATATTTGAAAATGGCGCGTTGTGTGTATTTGAGGGGTCTCTTGATAGTTTAGTTCACAATTTGACCCGCCACGTGGAGCTGGAGTCGTAAGGAAATAAAAATATTGGTATCTTAAAGAAAAATATCGCCGTGAAAAAATGTACCCGCCAAGTGACTCAGGAGTCGAGTTATTACCAAACAATTCGTATTTATGATGCGATTTGGCTCATATCCGGGTACTGGCAATATTTAGGGCAATACTTTTACAAAAAGGAGCCGCCAGGTGGCGCTGCAGTCGAGTTTTTACTAAAAAACTTTCAGTGAGAGAAAGTGTCGTGAATATCTGATTATGTCGACCTGCTGCACTACTGAGTTTGATACGATTTACCAATATTACTCTGCGCTAAAGCTTCTTTCGGAGACACCAGAATTGAGTTGTCCAGGGGTCAATCTCAAATGATGGCCGTTAAACCAACCACCAAAACTAAAGGGTGATTTTTTTGAGGTTAGGATTTTCATGCATTAGTATTT